ACTTAGCACTTTTTTGTGCCTATTTGAGTTCCGTTTCCCGTAACTTGCTATCGCGAACTGTGCCTTTAACTATCGTAAAAAATGCCTCCAGCCTGTATATAGAGGTGACACGACTTCTAGCTACCATAAGAAGATCCAGGTGTGAAGTGAAAGGTCATGCAGCTGTAGAAGTGTCTCTCTTTCATCATTCAAATGCGTGGGGAGATAAGGGTCGAGGGCAGTGGTAACTGTATGCCATCTGGGGGTCAAGCAGCAGGCAAAGCATTAGCACGCAGGGTACAGCATCGTGATGTGTGAGATGGTCGTGTAGGTACGACCCCCCCTCAGAGAGAAGGTGTCAGTACACCCCCCCCCCCCTCATCTAAATGAGGGTCTCGGTAGGACCCCTCCCCCTCTTCCCCAACATCTGCCAACAAATTTCCCCCTTTTCCACTTTTTTCACCTAAACAGCTTTTCGATTTTCCGCAGTCGAGCAGGAGGGGGGGGCGGGGTATATAGTGCACATGAAACAGGAAAAATCACGCAAAAGTCAACAACCGGAAAACCAACGCGACAAATTTCTCTCAAAGGCACATACGACCCCTCTCTCTCCCAACGACCAAATACGACCTCTCCCCAGAGAAAAAGTAAGTACGACCCCCCTATGTTCCACACAACGATGCTGTACCCTAGAACATCTAGCAAGCAAACGAAGGGAAAGTTTGATTGCACCGCTCGGCAGGCATAGAGAACACCATGGTGGCTGTGATTTTAGCGTCAAGTGCATAATATTGGCCTACGAAAACGATGTTGGTGCCCGGAAAACCCTTGAGGCGTTCTGGATTAGGCACCGTAATCCATGTATGAATAACAGGAATGAGTGCATCTCAATAACGGCCGATTTCTTGCCCTATATTCCACTGTGTGAGCTCTAACAGTGAGAACATGATGCACTGCACGTACGCATACTATCATCCTGTAGCAGTGCTCGGTCAGTCTCACTTGCTCCATTGTGTCGAAATCGAGCAGATCGTTGGTGCTGGTGGGAGTGGAAAAGGTAACCTGAAGTTTGAGTTCCCTTTCGTTGGTACTTTCCTGGTCTAGTTTAGAACGGGTTTAGGTTGAACAGGATCGATAGCTTTCATGGGTTTCGACATGCTTTCAGGCCTTTGATAACGTCGAAACGTCAGGCACATTAAACACTTCCACCATACAAACCTTTACGGCATAGCAAAGAAACATTGAGCCTATATCGAAAATGCCCAGGTTACAGAAAGGCAAACATGGGATGATGCTTACCCTGGTGCACGTTTATACGCCCGGCTATCAGCTAATTGCACAGCCCAGCAATCGCTTGCTTTTTGTCTGCGCGCCTTCCATTGTCTTGTTCGTCCAAACTTTGCTTCGTCTCGTTGCGAGGTCTGAAGAAATGTTGTTTCCTCTCCATATGTGCGAGCATTTGAAAGTCGAAGAAGAAGAAAAGGAGAAAGCGGAGTTCCGGGGGTTGACACGTTGTCTGAGACCGCGTTGTCATCTATAGTTAGCCTAGAAGGCCAGTTCACCCTTTGTTGTTTGCAGGACCCCAGGAGGACATGTTTCACGTTGTGGATGTCGTGTGGAGATCCAGAGGACATCCACCTTCCATCACGCTTCACCCTAGTTTCCACTCCCTTTTAGATGACGAAAGAGGCATACTTCTACAGCTAGAGCGCTGCTCACCTCTCATATGGCCCTATCCTCTCGCAAGTGGAGCGCGATCTCTCTTTTTGGGGGATAACAGCATTCCATGTCGTTAAGGTATACCATTTTCACTTTGAATTCACCACTTTTCAAACCAAATTCACCACTTTTCAAACCAAATTCACCACTTTTCAAACCAAATTCACCACTTTTCAAATCAAATTCACCACTCTTTTTAGACCCGGCAGTTCACCAACCAGATCACGCCAGACACCACGGCGAGCTCCGCCCCGACGGTCAAGCCTACTTGTCAGCGCGGACATAGATTTTCAACACATCGCCACATGGCCGACTCCGCCTACTCTTCAAAGAGTTTGTTGCATCAAGGTTTATAACTTTTTCAATTTTAATTTCACATCCACCCTTTGCCCAACAAAGGATCTCTGTACGCTGCCGCATTTATGCACTGACAGTCAGGCTCTTGCCCTGGCCACAGCCCACTGCTTCTTTGCGTAATATGATATTTTTTTCAAATTTTTGCATTTCTGGGCGCTACGTGAAGGCCCGCACCCCTATGTGCTCCGCTACTTCCAAGGAAGCTTCACCTTTGTCCAAAATGCTGGCAATCGGCGAGTATGCAGTCTGGGCCTTGCATGCTAGGTCTCGGCCAAATCCGGTTCGGAGACCAGGAATCAGGCAAAGTTTGTTGCGAGATTGACCGCAATACCCAAGCCATGTTAGCAAGAGCGGGGCTTCACGTAGCGGCCCAAAAATGGTAAATTTGACAGAAATCTAATTCCCGCAAAAGCAAGTGGGCGTAGCCAAGGGGGCGGAGCCTAAATTGCCAGTGCATAAATGCGCGGGTACGAGTATCTTCGTTGTGCAAAGAGTGGATGTGAAATTAAAAAGTTGAAAAAGTTATGAAATTTCGAAGTTCGCAACAAACTCTTTGAAGAATGGGCGGAGTCGGCCATGTGTCGATGTGTTGAAAATCTGTCCGCGCTGACAAGTAGGCGTGGGGCGGGGCTCGCAGTGGTGTCTGGCGTGATCTGGTTGGTGAACTGCCCGGTCTAAAAAGAGTGGTGAATTTGTTTGAAAAGTGGTGAATTTGGTTTGAAAAGTGGTGAATTTGGTTTGAAAAGTGGTGAATTTGGTTTGAAAAATGGTGAATTTGGTTTGAAAATGGTGAATTTGAAGTGAAAATGGTATATACAGAATGACTGTTTATACGGCGCCCTCCACGGCAAATGCACGGCTGTGGTCATAAAAATGTCGCGTCGCGAAAGCTGTGAGGTCAGTCATTGTAGAATCAAAGGGTGAATATTCTGTTCGCCGTCACACGTGGAATTACGTGGCTTGCAATGAAATGACCGATAGTCTGTGATGTTGTTCCGCCGAAAAATGAAAACAGAATGAGATTTCACGTGAGAAACCTCCTGCTTGGCAAAGTGCCCAGAGTTCAAGCGTTATTTCTCGATGGCTGTCATATTCGATGTCCATTCAGAGTCGTGGGTTCAATCAAATGCGGATCAGTTCCAAAAGCGGGCAAGCGACAACATCTCGTGGAAAACAGGCTGGCGGCGCACCAAATCCGGCCCTTGAGATGCCCCAGCGTTTGCGCTGAACAAGACTGTATTCACTGTGTCTATTCATTGGTGCACGCCCATGCTTCCCGTCTTCGAAGAAGGGGAGCAGTAACGAGGGAGGCAGTAAGGTTGAATAACTATGATACCGCCCATACGATCAGCGCGGAAGCACTTTATGTCCACTCTATGTCCATGAGGTTTTGAATACTTGGCTGGTCCAAACACAACGTATGAAGGAAGTCAGCTGACATTCAAATACTCCTGATCATCTGGAGACTTCTTCCACCACTCACGTAATTAATGGAAATATGAGATTAGGTAGCACTTGGTGTGATCCTTTCTATCCCAAAAATTGTTCCAAGTAAGCAAAACTTTCCATAACAGTACAGAGAACTTTCAGGAAGCTCTCATTTTCAGAATCATATATCGGGAATATCGAATAGAAATATCTCTGGAAATTTGAGCTTTGATTTTTAGCGATCTTTAGGTACAAATTTCCTACGTCTCCTTCCTCTGACGATATATCAAAGTGATCTCACTGCCAATGGCGACTATATGGAATACAGACACGTATGCAAACAGCTTTATTTGCTCAACTATAGAGAATCTTTAATGAAAACCTTTATAGCTTATTACCTTAAACTGATAAAGGATTTCTCTTAATTTTTCAGCAACATCAGTTCAATACGAATCTTTCTCTCCGAGGTGTCGCTTTGATACTTGACAAGAAGTGGAACAACGCTTATTTGATACCGCAAAGTCATAAGGTCACTACTTTCTTTAGTTAGACTTATTGCAGGTATAAACTGGTTTTCTGGAGAGTAAAATTAAGAGCTCGAAGGTTGGAATATCATGACATATTAAAGGAACGGTTCCCTGAATTAGACGATAGAAAGGCGACCATCCTACCTTTAGTAGCTTGCTTAGCAATTATGGAAAGCAAAGAAAGCCAAAAGCGGCTTCATTTGCACTACATTTTGAAAGACATTGCCAGACAAATTGACAATTGACAAATTCATGGTCACGTTGACTACGGTCGTTCGAGATCCTTATCGGATCGGTACAAATGACTTTCAAGTGAGCACACAAAAGAATACGCCTCCCAGCAAATCGTCGCTCTTCCTTTGAAGACACATGGTACGATCACACATAGTTTGAGTGTGCGTGACTATCAGCCCCCAGCTGTCGAAGCGTAGCGGTTTCCGTCCTAACATGCGCAGGACCAGTACAGGACCGTGAAACAACAGCCCCTCCACTGCCTCGCCAATTTCTTTGCGGCGCAGACCTCCCCGTTTATTCTAACAGCCGTCGCGCGGCGATGTCGTGCGCAGCGTTCTTGCACAATTCGGCGGCATTCCGGCCCTGCAAGAGCCATTAAAATTACCTAAAAGAAAAAAACAAAAAAAAAGTGAAGGAGAGTGCGGAGAGGGGGGAGGGCAGTGACAGAGTGGTCAGGAGTGCGTTTTCAGTTCCATGTGCGAGGGAAGTGCGCGGCCTCCAAGGACTGGCGTGCAGAAGCGGCGCCAACAGTTGCCTCTTGTGTTCTGGCCCTCGTCATCATCGTCAGTTTCTCTATGTGTTGTAGCACCTCCAAATGCGTGAGTGCCGCATAGCGCAGAGTAGCGTTTTACTTGTATTCAACAGGGCGACATTACAGACCATGCAAAGTGCCAGGAGCGCTCTGCGCGGCGACATGCGCCCGCGCGACGGCGTGCCAGCAATAAACGGGAGTTCTGCGTCGCCAATGGCACTATCGGGGCGAGAGGAATGGAAGACAGATAGGCGTGTTTCACGCGTCCGTTTCTCCAATCCTGCGCCACGTTCGCACGGGAGAACCCGCTACGGCGTTGCGAGCGCTCAGACGCTTCGACAGCTGAGGGGCTGATAGCCACGCACACCCAAACTATGTGTGATCGTACCATGTGTCTTTAAGTATCAGAATGCTTGTCGTGGTTCACCAACGGTAAACGAGCTTTTCTTCTCCGAATTTCAACATGAGTGACCGTCTCAAATCTGCTTTGGGGATTTACTGACCCTTGCAAATTCAGATGTTTTCAGAGATTATTTCCCAGTGGTATTACACTGTAGAGGATCTACCTAGGTTTCTGCGTTGTTAATGAAGTATCTTCGGCGGCAACTTCTAGGGCAGCAATCGTAACTTCTGATGACCCCTGTTCTACGGGAAACAGTTCACAGCCGCGAGCTCTTGTCGAACTTGAGAATCAGTTCAAACTTTCAAACAACTTACAACTGTTATGCGCTGTTTTCATTTACTAACAGTAACTATGAATTACGAAATATCCGGCTTCAGGCGACATTAACCGCCGACACTTTCCATGAAAAAAGGCGACATGTCATTACTCGATTGTGCACCCCTGCATTGCTAAGGTACGTAGACAAAAAAAATCACGTTTGAACTTTTCACAGAAATGTACAGTCCTCATCATTACGTACTGTCGGGGCGGCACAGCCGCGCTGCACTGTGACGCGACAGCGGCTGCGGCTCGGTGACGGTGAATCAGCTGATTTCGATGGAATTCGGCTGCAAATTCCCACTTTTC